TGCTCCACAGGCCCTGGGGAGCCTGCTGGTCCTCTTCCAGCCAGGGCAGCAGGCGGAGCGAAGCCCGGTGGAGGCCGGCCCAGGGCTGCGGCACTAGGCAGTCCTGTAGATGGTGCGGTAGGTGCTGCAGGCTTGGTGCCATCACAGATGGTGAGGGAGGGTTGGTACATCTGCTGCACGAAAGACTCAGACTCGGGGCCCCTGGGAGCCCCGACTGCGCACACCCTGCGGCCAGGCCAGTAGACATGCTCAGCGCCATCCACTGCCAGCACCGGAACCACACCAGAAGTAGTTCCCGGGACTCACACATGGCCCATGTCTGCGGGTGAGATGGCCTTGTCCTCAGCATGGCCACCCAAGCTGGGAGCACACTGAGACAGGGTTTTTAATGAAATGAGATCAAGCATTGGCACATAGTAGGTGTTCCAGCAATGATGAACGAATGAAGACACAGTAGTCTTAGCAACTGCAAACTGGCAGGGCCTCCTGAGAATTTCGCGTCTGAGTTGATACAGGGCTGGTACTTCCAGATCCTGGTTTCCTTCCCTGCTCCTTCCTCTGTCCCCACCATCATCATCATCTTTAGCAGCAACAACAGCTGCGGGTTGTACGGCAAGTTACAGAAATTCTATGACTTGGTCTCGTGTAAATCCCACAATAGTCCTGAGGTCTGTATTATAATTCCCATTCCACAGATGGAACCTAGGCCGAGAGAGGGTGTATGATGTGCCCGAGGGCACAGAGATCTGAGACTTGAGGGCACTGCTTTTGGCCTTCCTTAGATGAATTGATTTAACATGTACTCAGCACCCACTGTGCGCATGGTAAGTGCTGACACTATGACAATTTCTTTCGGGGGGGCGCGATCGGTTGGAGAGCAGGTCCAGTCCACTTTTTCCATCTCTGTGACTTTGGGCAAGTCCCTTCACTTCTCTGGGCCTTAATTTCTTCATCTGTAAAATGGGCACCATGATCATAGTCTCATAGGAGAGAGTATGACCCTCTCATGCAATCACTGCAGGGAAAACAGAGATAATGTATTTATGTAGCACAGTGGTGCAAGCAAGCACTCAGTAAATTGTAGCTGATTCTTCGTTGTCACCTAGATGTCAGCCAGGGGCCTCCTGACCCCTTGAGATCTTCACAGGATGAGCCCAAGTAACCACTACAAAGCCCTCTCCAAGATTACTGCAAATTCCTGGGCGATTTGATTTCTCCCAATCCAGCTCTGGCTTCAGCCTATACCGTCTTTGGTCAACACTATACCAAAATAGATGTAAAACTTGGCCCCTCTACTAGTTCCACAAACACCCCAGTCAAGGCAGCCTCAGTGAGTATTGGAGACTTTTTTTTTTTTTTAAGGTTTCTAGGTATGGGAGACAGAGAAGGGGATCACATCATAGCTACAAAAAAAACAAAAAACAAAAAACAAAACCTCACGATGAACTAAGAGTAACCCAGTTCCCAAGATGGCCTCAGCCTGCTCTTCTGCTTCCCTCTCCATTGTCCCCAGACCCTCAGCCTTGGGACAGTTGCCATAGTTTGGCTATGGTTTCCAATTCTCTCCTCCTAAGGAGCTCTCCAATTTCCATTCCAGGCATTATCCCACCGTGTGAAGCCTTAGAGGTTGGGGGTGGGGGGCGGGCTGGTGGTGGTGTGCTTCCCCTCCTATCTCCCCCTCACCCACCCACCCCACCCCCACAAGTAAAACTCTGCAGAGTGCTTCTTAGGCCTTCAGGAAGCCCCAACAAGGATGGGAAGAAATGTTTGCTATCATTCATGCTAGTTGATGCTGGTGGGTGGGTGATCCTGCCTGGCTGCTGGCTGCCACAGGGCTCTCCCACACTCCCCACCCTTGGTTCCTGCCCATTTCCCAAACCCAGTCCTCCAGTTTCTGGTAAATTCTCTTGGGCACTCGGTAGCTTAAAACATCCCGTGTCGTTTTAGGAACAAATTCAAATCCTAGTCCACTTCTTGTTGCCTCCACAGCAGCTGCCTCTCAGAGCTTCAAGAGCAAACCTTCACTTTCAACAGTTTTTCAAAGTGTTTTTTCAACGAAAGCCATTCCTTCCCTAGGACAGGAAGTCACGTGCTGAGGATCTACAAGCTGTATGTGGTCCACAGGGATTTAAAAAAAAAAAAATCAAATGAACATTAAAAAATTGAGAGATTACACGTGAAAATCTGGATTTGTGCCTTTTCTTGTAAACTCATAATATCTGGCATCATAGGACTCACATTTCCCCGCAAGGAGCTTGTTGGCCTGAATGGAGAGCAGGGTCCCTGCCCTTTAGACAGGTTTTTCTTATGCTTTCACCCACTGGCCTTATTTCTCCAGCTTGATCCCTGTAGGCTTTCAACTTTGTGACCTTTGCTAAAGGGCATTTCGGGACCGGTTTCCGCCCTCCACTGCATTATTGCAATCAGATTGGGTCCATGAATTTGCTAGGTTCGCAAAGGGCACCGTAGGCAGAAGATACAGCAACAGTGGTCACTTAAGCACGTGAGCGGTGACTGTTCCTGGAAGGGCAAAGGGTCCGGAGGGACTGGGTCTCTGGTGCGAGGGGGCGGTGGGGCTGGAAAGGGTTAACCTGGGGCTTGGTTCTGAAGGGCCTTAACGCTGTCTTACAGGACTCTGGGAGCCAGTGCGGTGTTGAAAGCAGCGGCACAGCATGAGGTGTGCGTATGACAAAAGAAGCTGGGAAGCTCGTGGGCAGGATGGATTGAAACCCTCCCATTCCGCCCCCGTCCCCCCCCACCCCCCGCTATCCCCGCAGCAAGCCCAGCGAGAGGCTGAGGCAGTGGTCCAGGAGGGCCAGGGACGCTGCGGCCAGGCATGTGGCAGCGGCGGTGGGAATGGCTCGGAGGATGGCAAGGGAGGGAGTCCAGAGACTGGGTTGCCCAGGCATGGATACGCTTGACCTTGACAGAAGACACTGCGGGCGCTGCGGCGGCAAAGCGCTCGCCTCCCCGCCTTTCCCCACCCCCGCGGCGCAGCGGACTGCGGCGGAATCCCGGCCCCTCGCCTCTGCGCCCTCCCGCGCCGCTGCGGCACGCGAGGGGCGGGGGCGGCAGGGTGGCGGGGATGCCCGTCTTCCCTGGAAGGCCGGAGAAGGGGGTGGGGAAGGAGGTGGGGGAAGGAGGCCGGTCACGTGGCGCCGCCACCAGGCGCGGCCGGATTGGAGGTTCCGCAGCCGATCCCGCCCGGCTGCTCGGGTTTCCAGGCAAGGAGCAGCCCCTCCCGCGTTCCCGCTTGCAGGGGATGCTCTGGCCCAGCGCAGAACAGGGTAGGGCGGGGGCCGCGCTCTCCCCGCCCTGTTAAACGCTGCCAGATCCCTGGCTTCTCGCCGCGATCCTCACTGCAGCTTGGGAGGTCTGATTATTGTCTCCGTGAACACATCCCTTCTCTGCTTCTCTTCTGCCTTCCCCCATCTGTCCCTCTTCCTACTGTGCTACCTGAAGGCCAGCTTTGTTGGGACTGGCTGAAGCAGGTTTCTGTTACTCGCCAAGATTTTGTAGCTTTGGGCAAATCAGTTAACCTGCCTGGAGGTGGGGAAGATTCAGATAGAAATCTCACAGACACCTCAAGCACCACACATCCGAACCAACCACAGTTTCTCCCCAAACTGTTTCTTCTTTGTGTCCCCATCTCTGTTTTAAGCAAAAACCTGATAGCCATGTCCCTCTTGCTGTCCCCCATCAAATCTATGACCGAAACTTATTAAATTTACCTCCAAAATATTTCTTAAACCTCAATATCCAGTATTTTCCCTTAGCATTTATCCCAGTTTGTAGCTGTATGTTTATTTGTGATCGTGTTTGTACAGTAAGCTCCATGAGAACAACGACCTTGTCTTTTTGCAAGCCATTGTATCACCAACACAGCACTGGCACACAGTAGGTGTTTGATAAAATTTTATTAAATGAATAGATGCATGGCTAGTCCTGTGCTAGGTACTAGGTGTGGAGGCGGACACAGATTTTAAGATGGGACACACAGTTCTATCCTCATGAAGTCATCTATGTAACAAACATGCACCGAGGCCTTCTAGGCTAGCCCCTCAGCGGGACCGGTGCACAAGCTGAACAAGACACCATTTCTACCTTCCTCCTTCATCTTGGAGGGACCACACATGACCAACCTAGACAAATAAGACTCTGGGGTTGGAGGGGTCAAGTGTAGTAGTATATAATAACCTCTACAGTCAGAAGAGTCCAGGGTTTAGAATCTAATGATCCGGCTTCCCAGGCCAGCTTTGCCTACTTCTGGCTGTGTGACCACAAGTCCCTTCTCTCTCTGAAGCTCCATCTTTTCATCTTAAAAAAATGGGAAATAACGGTACTGTCTAAAAGGGCTGAGAGATATGGACAAGATAAATGAAAACACTAAGTGCCAGGTTTTACAACAATGCTGGGTGTAGGTGGCTGACCATGCCTCCTCCTTAGCCTGGAAGAGACTAGCTGACACCCGTTGAACCAGGGCAATTAATCATGACATTCCCTTTCGTTCTCAGAAGTGTCCTGGGTTTGCACCATAAATTATGTGGTCATCCTAGCAATAAGTGTGACACTAGAGTTATCTCCATTGTGCCCTGGAGACACAAAGGTGGGAGGGTGGCGGGGCTGACTGGAGGAAGGGAGGCCGTGACCAAGGAAATGAGTCTGGAAGTATGCAAGTGATTACACCAAATGAAGAGAGATAGGAAAGGCATGAGAGGCAGAGGGACCAGCATTTGCAAAGGAAACAAAACTTGGTAATTTGGGGCATGTTTAGATAACATCAAGAAGGCCCAATGGTGCTCTCTTTGGCAGCACATACACTAAAAATAGAACAATACGGGGCACCTGGGTGGCTCAGGTGGTTGAGCGTCTGCCTTCGGTTCCGGTCATGATCCCGGGACCCTGGGATCAAGTTCCACGGTGGGCTCCCTGCTCAGCGGGGAGCCTGTTTCTCCCTCTGCCTGCTTACTTGTGATCTCTCTCTCTGTCAAATAAATAAGTAAATAAATAAAATCTAAAAAAAAAAAAATGGAACGATACAGAGAAGATTAGCATGCCCCCTATGCAAGGATGACATGCAAACCTGTGAAGTGTCCCATATTTTTAAGGGGCACCTGGCTGGCTCAGTTGGTAGAGCATGTGACTTTTGATCTCGGGATCATGAATTCGAGCTCCACGTTGGGTGTAGAGATTACTTTAAAAAAAAGAAAAAAAGGCCAAATGGGTCTATTCTAAGAGGCATGGAAGGAGATGGGGCTGGCAATGGGAACTGTAGAAGGGATTGACATGAGCTGGTGGCTTCACAAAAGAGACCAATTGAGGAATTGGGGCCAAAGTCCAGGCAAGAGAAATAATGAGGCCTGTAGCCAGGTAAGATTCTATAAGCACTTTAGAAGTAAAATGGACTTGGATGTGGGAGTTGGAGGACAGATCGGGGGCAGGAGAACTTCCAGGTGAATGGGGAGGCCATTCACTGAAGCAGGTGGGGAGAAGGGAGGGCCAAGAAACCTGGAGACAGGAGGCGACCCAGGTTGGACTTGTGGCATTCACCACTCTTGATCCAGAGGGAAAGAGTAGGGGTCATAAGAGGTAGAGGTCACTTCTGAGGCCAGGGGAAGGAGCTGGGGTCTAGTCAGTATTCAGGTGACATCTGATTGAAATTAGCTTTCAGAGCAACCTTGAAAGGCAAGAGAAAGCTCAAAAATAGAGCCTCAAGTAAAGAAAGATCAGATTTTGCAGACCAACTACATTGCATATATTGCACTCCTTGATTATTATGTTCCCACAGTGCCCCACTACCTAATAGAATAAAAGCTGAGGTCCTCAGCCTGGTGCTCAAGGCTTCTAGTGACCTGGCCCCAACCTATCTCTGGTGAATGATTCATATTTCGTCTGGTCATGTTGGGCTCCTCCCTTCTTCTGGAAACACAAGAATTGCTCCTCCCCTGGTCCAACCATATGGTCCAGGTGGGGACTATCAATTTTGGCACCCCATTCCCCCTGATCAAGGGTGTGAGTGAGCATGTGACCAAGCCTGGTCAATCAGAACCCTCCTGAAGGATTCTGGGAGGTTTGGAGCAAAAGGAAGAGACTCTCTCATCTCTCTGATGAGGAAGCTAGGAGGCGTGAGCTGGGGATTGCCGTTGGGCACAGTTCCAGCCTGGAGAGGTAAGTGGTCTGAAAACATCTAAGTAGGGAGAAGATTGTTTCATAGGTACAGGGTTTCAATCTGAGAGATAAAAAAGTTCTGGAGATGGATGGTGGTGAAAGTTGCACAAACAATGTGAATATAATTAATGGTCACTGAATCCCACACTTAAAATTGGTTATAGTGGTATTTTATGTAATGTACACTTTACCACAATTCAAAGAAGAGGGAGGAGGAGAAGGTGGAGGAACAGTTGCCGGCAGACAAGCAAAGTTAAAAGCTGGAGGAGGGCAGGTGGCTCCCGGGTGTGGTTGGTCCTTGGGCCCGGTTGCTGTAGTACTTGTCTATAAGAGTTGCATGAGCCAAGAAACGTGCTCTTTTGGCATAGGCTAGTTCACGTTGGGCTTCTTTTCCTTGCATCTGATGGAGTCCTAACATAGGAACTTTCCATTCTCTCTTCTCTCTCACATCCTTTCAGACATTCTCTTCTCCTGTCACACCCTGCTGCTCACATTTCCTCAGACCAATCCTGTGCCTCTCCTCCAGGCTCCCTCTGCCCTTTCCCCTACTTATGAGTGTCAACTCCTACTCATCCTTGGAGACCCAGCTCAAAGGGCTCTTCCCCGGAAAGCCGTTCCTGACCACAAGGCTTACCATGCGTTCCTCTATATATGCCTTCCTTTTTGTACATGTCTTTGTCACCTAGGATCCCAGTGACCTGCTTTCTTGTTTGTAACCCTCATCAGGCTACGTTGTTCATCTCCATGACCCTCATGCCTGACAAACAGCCCAGCACAAAGTATCCTAAATGTTTACTGAACGGGTGAATAGATGAGTAAGAATCCTTCTTTCTCTCATGCCATCTCCCTGAGTCACTTACTCAGTTTCTACCAAGTAGGGACACAGAAAAAAAAAAAAAGTGGGAGGAATTACTTTAGTCCCTCAATTCAAGGGTGAATGGATCCAGAAGGGAAGAAAACCCAGTAGAAATGGGGCCATTGCAAAGTTCAATGGCATTTATGAGAGGTCAGCTTTCTGCCAAAGTTCCGATGGTGGCAGCTTTGAGCTGAGGCAGTTTGTTTGGGTGCCAGTGCCAAGACAAGCAAACATTCAGTGTGTTGAGCTTTTCAGCAAGCTTGGATTCTGACAGCTGCACCGGGAGAAGCACCTAAAAGCCATCTGGGTCTGCCTGGAATCAGGGGATCCCCATCTCCTTCAACACAATCTGACCCAAGGAACAAGGCAGCCCTCTCCCCCACCTTTTGTCCCCACCACAGGCACACACCTCCTCGAAGGGGGCCCTGCAGCTGATGAGGACATTTGGCACTAAGGATAGAATAAAAAATAACTACAGGGAACCGTGGCTTTGATAATACTGGGTACTTACTAGTCCATGGCTCCCCTCTACAATCCCCAGCCTCCCTTGCAGTTAGATTTGGCTCATATGACAAATTCCATTTCCAGGCTGGAGTATTTAATTGCCAGTGCACAACCCTCCAGCAATCTTTCCCTCACTGAAGCAATCCTGAAAGCCTTGTGTGCAGGTTGTGGAGGCGAGGATGGAAAAGCCTGGATCGCTGAGTTTTCCAGTGGAGTAGAGGATATGTATCTTGGAAAGTGCCTTGACCCATATCAGGCATTGCTTGAGTGAGAAAAAATAGACCATTGTTAGGTTAAGCCATTGAGCTATTTGGGTTGTTACCGTAGCAAAGCCTAGCCTATTCTGACCAATATATAGAAATTGTTTTAGCCATCCAGCATCAAACCTCCTTATTCGAAGAGAACATTCCCCCTCCTTATGGTTTTTGCCAAATCCAGTGGTCGCTTCTCTATTCTTTCCTGATTTCTCAGCAGCATTTGTCACAATTGACCACTCCCCGCTGGAAACATTTTACCATGGCTTCTGTGACATCACACCTGCCTGGTTTTTCTCCTCTGACAGCCCCTGTTTCTTAGCTTCCTTTGCTGGCTCCTTTTTCACTATTTTACCTCAAAAGTTTGAAGTTTCTCAGGGCTTATTCCTGGGGACCTTTCTCATGGTTTTACATTCCACCCATGAGAAAGACACCTGGTACCTTCCAGTATTCACTCTACCCTTCTCTGTTAATCACAGAGCCCCTATTTTTAGCTGAGCACGTTGTGTCCAGTTAAAAGACTGTATTTCTCAATATAGCCATGGGACTAGTTTTGGCCAATGAGATGTAAGCAGAAATATGTGGGACTTCCAATGCAGTATCTTAAAAAGAAAGGGTGCACTTTTCCCCCTTTCTCCTCTCTACTTCCAAAGGTGGAACATAATGAGGTGAACTTAAGATTGAAAAGCAAGTGCTGAGTGTAGCAGAGCAGTCCTGGACTGCCTACCCCTGGACTTCTTTTTTTGAACAGAGAAATAAATCTCCCGGTGCTTGGGTAGCTGAGTCAGTTAAGTGTCTGCCTTCAGCCAGGGTCATGATCCCAGGGTCCTGGGATCGAGCCCTGCATCCGCTTCCCCTGTTTGTGTTCTCCTCTCTCTCTGTCAAATAAATAAAATCTTTAAAAAATAAATAAATAAATTTCTATTGTAAGTTTTTTTTTCCTTTGGTTATGTGCAACTGAACCTAACCCTAACAGACCATTCCTGTTGCTGTTCTAGTTGTGTGTTTGCCTCCCATCAGGAAGGCTGCCGAGAGCACAAGAATGACACGTACGGGGTGGGGGTGGGGGGAAAGGTGCTAGGCCTCCTCCCACAAACTGTAAACAACCAAGCTACTAGGAGGATAGAGTGGGAGGTGGGCCTAGCAATACAGTTTATTAGCTCACAGAGAGCACTGAATGCTAGATTAAGGAATTCGGCCTTTATTCTGTAAATCCCTTGCAGATAGGGGACCCTGTCTGTCTTATCTAGTAATGCCTCCACTTTGTAGATGCTTAACGAATGACTGTATTCTTTATTAATTAATGCTGTTAACAAAAGAAGTGTCGGAAGGTGGACCAGTTGGGAATCACCATGTGATCTATCCTGGCCTATGTTTTAGAGATGAAGTAACCTCAGTACCATTTGCTGTAAGGGGCAATCATCCTATCCGTGAGCAAAGGCAAACCGAAACCACCACCCTGGGGATGAAGGCGGTCAGGGTGACGGAATCGGGGGAGGGGGCCAAGAAAACCAGTTGGGTTAGCGCCTCCACAAGATGGCTGCCCTGGAACCCCATGACTGGCAGGAGGCGGAGCTCCGCCCCAGCACGCCCGGCCCCACCCCGCTCGGCCCCGCCCAGCACCCCCCCCTCCGCGCGGCGGTGGCGGGGGGCGGTGCGGGTTGTGAGGTGTCTCCGCGGAGCGCCTGCGCAGTGGGCAGCGGCGCGCGGGGCGGAGGCTTTATAATCACTTCGACGCCGCCGCTCGGCTTCTATCTCGGGGAGGGCGGCTGAGGCGGCGGCAGTCGCCGCGCCGGTTGAGGGGGCGCTGAGGCGGGAGCTGTGGCGGCGCTGGGCGCCCCTCGCTCCTCGGCCTCTGGGGGCCATGGGCTCTGAGAAGGACTCCGAGTCGCCGCGCTCTACATCTCTACACGCGGCCGCGCCCGACCCCAAGTGCCGCAGCGGCGGCCGGCGCCGGCGCCTCACCTTCCACGGTGTCTTCTCCGCCTCGGCCCGCGGTCGCCGCGCCCGGGCCAAGCCACAGGCCGAGCCACCGCCCCCGGCCGCGCCGCCGCCGCCCGCCCCGGTCCCGGCCGCGGCCCAGGCCCCGCCGCCCGAGGCGCTGCCCACCGAGCCGGCCGCCGAGGCGGAGGCGGAGGCCGCGGCTGCCGCCGGGCCCGGGTTCGACGATGAGGAGGCGACGGAGGGCGGCGGCCCCGGCCCGGAGGAGGTGGAGTGCCCGCTCTGCCTGGTTCGGCTGCCGCCCGAGCGGGCCCCTCGCCTGCTCAGCTGTCCGCACCGCTCGTGCCGGGACTGCCTCCGCCACTACCTGCGCCTGGAGATC